CTCGAAAAGATGTACCCTGTACCCTTCAATGCTGAAAGAACCCTTACGGGTTTACGGGTTTAGGGGGTTTAGAGTTTAGGGCGAGGGGTTTAGGGTTTATGGGTTTAGGGGTTTAGGGGTTTAGAGTCTAGTCCAAGTTACCAGGATAAGGGTATCTGATAAGCCCCTAAACCCTCAAAACACTCAACTTGCTTGTTATGGGTAACTTAAAGGTTTAGGGTTTAGGGTTTAGGGTTTAGGGTTTAGGGTTTAGGGGTTTAGGATTTAGGGTTTAAGGTTTAGGGTTAAGCTCTGAACCCTACACCTGACTTAAGTTCACTTAAAACCCCTACACCCTAAGCTCTAAACCTTAATCCTAAACCCTGAACCTTAAACCCTAAACCCCAAACCCTAAACCTAACCTAAGTTCCTTAACCAAAAAGGCCCAGATTCTCATGAAGTCTGCTCCGCAGCCCCACATCTGGCAGAGCTGCCAAGCCTGGGCTTTTGCCAAGGTTTAGGGTTTAGGGTTTAGGGTTTAGGGTTTAGGGTTTAGGGTTTAGGGTTCAGGGTTTAGGGTTTAGCGTTTAGGGTTTAGGGTGTAGCTGTGAACTACCATAACCCGGAGCGCCCAGTGTCCCTTAATCAAGGAATATACCTCAAAATTACAAGGGACTTCAAAGTATGATTTAAGCTATATTCCTTAATTACGGGATATTGGGCTCTGTGGGAATAAGGAAACTATATTCCTTAAGCTGCCATATTAAGAAGACCATCTTATCATCTTATGCCCTCTAAACGAAGATTAAACTCCTCCGCCGAAGCCCTAAACCCGAAGCCCTTAAAGGAACCCTTGAAGGAACCCTTAAAGGAACCCTTAGAGGAACCCTTAAACTCCTCCACCGAAGCCCAGAAGCACAGAGGGGAACGGCCAAACATTGCAGCAACCGCTTTGACGTTGTGGTCGCCCGCTGTGCCGCCGGCGGCGGGGATGAGTGTGTTCTGCTCCATGCTGCCCACATGCCTGAGCTCTTCTCACGGAGCTTTACTCGAGGTGTCCTCCAACAAGACGTATAAAAACCCTGAACCCTAAACCCTAAACAGATGTATAGAAACCCTGAACCCTAAACCCTAAACTCTCTTCCTGACATGGGCCACTTGAGAACTGAGCTCCTTAAGAACAGGCCCAGGGTCAACTTCGAGGCGTCTTTCGAGAAGCCTTCACAGACTTTAGCAGCTTCGTCTCCGGGAGGGCAGCTGGGAAGTAGGTGGACTTTCAGCCCAGCTTTCTCATAAATACCTGCGAGCTTTCAGGTTTTAGGGTTTCAGGCTTTGCTTTCGGTTTAGGGTTTAGGGTTTAGGGTTTAGGGTTTCAGGTTTAGGGTTTAGGGTTTAGGATCGGGTTCCTAGAACGAACCATGGTTTTGACAGAAACCCACCTCGACGGCAAGCAAGAGCAATGCCTGCAAACTGCGCAGACATGTAGTAGTCCAGCTGCACGGCAATCTGGCACAACGCACGTGACATTTTGCTGCACACCTTCGCTGGCCAATCAACAGCTGTAGAAGGAGCCTACGTCACCTGGTACAAAGCCATTTCAAGCACCCATTAGAATGATGTCCTATTTATATAGTTAGGGTTTAGGGTTTAGGGTGAAGCTTTAATTGAGGATAGTCGGCTCATCACTAACCGAACAGCTGAGTCTTCCGCAGAGAGCCCCTGCAGCCAGAGCACCCAAGACAAAACGTCACCAAAGTTCTTGGGGTATCGTGTAGGCCGTGTGCGGCCTCGTACTACATAAGCTTCCAAGCAGCTCGAGCCGAAAGATAGTTAGGGTTTAGGATTTAGGGTTTAGAGTTTAGGGCCTAGGGTTTAGGGTTTAGGGTTTAGGGTTTTTCGGCCATCTTGCAACTGGCCTGAAAACCTGAACCCTTTCCACCGCAAAGGCTTAACGAGGCATGCAGTGCATCAAGCGACGGAAGCCCCCTGCTTTCCATGCGAGCCGCTTGTCTTAAGCATCGGGAGTACTGCTTGGGTTTAGGGGTCGATGGGCAGGGACCCAGAGAGCCCAATGCCCCTTAATTAAGCAATATGCCTTAAACTATAACCCTAGACCCCAAATCGAAACCTTAAACCCCTAAACCCTAAACCCTAAACCCCATACGGGGCTTCTTATTATGATTTAAGGTACATTCCT